TTTTTATGGGCAACTATATAACCAAGAGAATATTGAGGAGGAAAAAGTCAAACAGTATCTACAGAATGCTAATCTACCCAAGATACCTAAAGAGACTGAAAAAACATTAGAAAGTAATATAACAATGATGGAATTAACTGAAGCACTTAAGAAGCAAAACAATGGGAAAGCACCAGGTCCAGATGGGCTTCCGGCAGAATTTTATAAAACACTACAAGAATCACTGAGCATTCCACTGCTAGAAGTCATGAATGAAGCTATGTTAAAGAAGATGATACCTAAAACATGGTCAGAAGCTTATATTATACTTATTCCAAAAGAAGAGGCTGATCCATTGCAAATTAAGAATTATAGACCTATTTCTTTACTAAACGCAGACTGTAAAATCTTTGCTTCAATTTTGGCAGAAAGACTTAAAAAATACTTAAATAACTTTATTCACCTAGATCAAAATGGATTTCTGCCAAAGAGACAAATCAAAGACAATATGAGAGTAATCCTGGACACTTTGGAATATTATGAGGCACATCCCGAAAAACAAATGGCTTTGATATTCTTAGATGCCCAAAAGGCATTTGATAATGTGAATTGGAGATTTATGTTACTATTATTGGAACAGATGGGTTTTGCCAGAAAATTTATCCAAGCAATAGAAGCTATATACCATAAGCAAGCGGCAAAGGTAATGATAGAGTGAGAATTCACAGATCCTATTAATATAAGAAAAGGTACAAGACAAGGATGCCCTCTATCACCTTTGCTATTTGTATTGACTTTGGAAGTGTTGAATAGAAATATTAGAGATGATAAAAGCATAAAAGGAATGAAAATTAAAAAGGAAGAATTTAAATTGTAAGCCTTTGTGGATGACTTATCCTTTATTTTGGAAGACCCTTTAGAAACAGCTCCAAAGCTATTGGAAAAGATAGAGACATATGGTGAGGTGGCTGGTTTGAAAATAAATAAAGATAAAACAAAGATTTTGACAGAATATGTTACTAAGTCAAAGAGAAGAACTGGCAGACCTATTGAAAATTCAAGTCACCAACAAGGTCAAGTATTTGGGGATATACTTGACACCAAGATGCAGTACATTAAAAGAGAACAATTATATTAAACTTAAACAACAGATAGCGTTAGACTTGAAGAAATGGGAAAATCTACAACATCACTAATAGGGAGAATCTCAACAATCAATATGAATATCCTACCCAGAATCTTATATTTGTTTCAAACAATACCAATCAGGCTTGGAAAAGACTATTTTGAAGAGTTAAATAAAATTGTGTTGAAGTACATATGGCAAGGTAAGAAAGCGAGAATAAAGTTAAAACTTTTACAAGATGCCAGAATTAGAGGAGGTTTTGGTTTGCCTGATTGGGAGTTGTACTATCAAGCTGCACATCTGATGTGGGCCAAGGAATGGATAACACTAAGAAAGACTAGATTGTTGACATTAGAAGGTCATGATTCGTTGTTGGGCTGGCATGCCTTTCTATGGTATAAGGGAACTAAAATGCAGGGCTATTTTAGAAGACATTATATAAAAGGAGTCTTTGTGGTTAAATTGGGAGAAGATCAAAAGACAATGTTATTTGAAAATTCCAGTTTGGTTATCGACCATTGAACCATTTTCCTATCCTATAATTTATAAGAGGGAACAAACAGTTAGATATGGGGAAATACTGGATGAAAAGGGTGAACTTAAATCGATGCAACACTTAGAGGAACAAGGTATAAAGATGAATTGGTTTTCATATGCGCAAATACATTCAAGGTATGATGAAGATTTTAAAACAGAGGGATTTTATGATAAATTGACTGATTTAGATAAGATCTTGACAGGTACTGATGAAAAGGTGTTTAAAAAATTATATGGTTATTTACTGGAAATTAAATTAGAGGAAGAACAAGTCAAAGAAACTATGATTGCTTGGGGGAAGAATTTTGGATATGGGATTGATTTAGAGAAATGGCAAAAATTGTGGTCTCAAAAAGAAAATCTGTATAAGATGTTTTACAGGTGGCACTTTCCCCCGACAAGAATAGCAAGAATGTTCAAGAATAAATCTGAAAAATGCTGGAAATGTCATCAGATACCTGGCTCATACTACCATATGTGGTGGACTTGCGAGGATGCTAGAAAATACTGGACTAAAATTCGCATGTGGTTGGAAAAAATGACAAAGAAACAAATAGATTTGAAACCAGAGATCTTTCTATTGGGAATCTTACCTGATACATATAACAAAGATTTGAAATACCTGATTGTAAATGTATTAACAGCAGCTAGGATTGTATTTGCTAAAAACTGGAAAAATGAGAAAATACCACTGCAGGAAGAAATTATTAAGAAAATATTGGAATGTGCTGAAATGAGTAGATTGACATTTGAAATTAGAGAAGAGGATAAACAATTTTATAAAATTTGAGACTTTTTCTATCAATGGTTGGATGATAAAATACAATAGTAGAATATTTAGAATTTTAAATAATGAATATAAAAAGAGATATTTTTTTTTAATTTAATATCACATTTATAAAATGTCTTCAGGATAGATTTGGTATGATTATATAATTTGTTATAAAATAAATTAAGTAAATTATAGTTATCTCGCAAAGTATGAATGAATAAAATCATAGTCAAATGATCGTTTGATAGTGATACTAGGGTATATAATCTTTGATTGATGAGTTATTATGTAATGTAACTGTAATTGAGACTACGAAATGAATGCACAAAAACTGGTAAACCAACCGACACACTGTTTATATATTTATGAAAGAAAACTGGATGTTTTTATGTTTTGTTTGTTTGTTTGTTTTTAAAAACTAATAAAAATGTTTTCAAAAAAATAATAATATCAGGGCTCATCCCTTTTATGAAAAGGGTTTTTTATGAAGACATTGAACTCAGGGAAGTTCAAATGTTTTGGGAAATCAAAATCAAGATTCCAGATTTTTGAGGGCCCTGAAATTAAATTACCCCAAAGAGAATATTTGTAATTCAGGGTTGAGCTGTGGGGTCCTGGGTGGTCTCTGAGCTTGGTTGTTTCCTTGTAGATGTTTCATGATCCAACTCGGTAACAACATCAGTGCTAAAAGGGAGTGGGGTTAGCGGAGAGGAAGAGGACTGTGGGGTCCTGGGTGGTCTCTTAGCTTGGTTGTTTCCTTGCAGACATTTCATGACCCAACTAGGTAATGTCATCAGTGCACTAATTATGTTAGGCACTGATTGTTGTAATGACGAGGCAGTCGAGTTGTTTGATCATGAACAACTGAATCATGATGATCTTTATTGGAGTCTAGTCTTGCATTTATACACATTTTTAATTATCCTCCATCATTGGTTAACTTTGGTTACTGCTTAACTTTCGTTACTGTTTAGCACAGTAATCCATACAATTAATTATCTCTAGTTAAAGTCTAACATATGTTTACTTCCTCTCTCTAATCCTCCTTTAGATTAGTGACTTTGTTTACCTGAGTTATATTTGCTTGGAAACATTCTTTATCTGAGGTTTGCCATCCGAGATTGGAACATTCCTGCAATTACAACTCTACAACTGATGATGTTATCTAGTTGGATCACGAAACAATCAAGCTCAGAGCCCCCAAGGACCCCACTAAATTAGTTCTTCCCTGAAACAAACTCAGGGTATAAACTGAATGTGACTCAGAGCAACCCTATGGATGTGCATTTACACATATGTATTTCAAAAAAACGACACAACTGATAATACAGGTAGCCCTCCACTTACAACAGTTCACTTTACAATGGCACTGATAAAAGTGACTTATGACCATTTTTCACACTTACGAACATGTAGTATGTCGCCAGGAAGAAAGGGGTGGAAGGTTATTATTTTATTATATTATTATTTTAAATGTCTTTTATAGAGTGTTGTTATATGTTCGTAAGCTGCCTTTAGTCGCCATGCGCCTGTAGGCTGCAATATACATTTTTCTAAATTATAATCTTCTACCTATATAAAAGCGAAAGGCCACTCACGCATCATCACAAAATCTCCAGAACCATAAAGTCTACAAACTTGAAATTTGGCCCATATGTTCCTCTTGGCTTCTAGGGGTCCAGTAAGAAAAGATTTTTCCAAATGACCATCAGAGCATTAGTATTTATTCCTATATTATTATTATTATTGTTGTTGTTTTGTTGTTGTTGTTATTATTATTGTTACTGTTATTATTATTATTAAGCTCTGATGGTAAGTTCTACTCCCTCTCCGCACCTGAAAAGAAATCTCTTCCAAATTTAGAAAACACAAGCAGAGGAGAGGAGGTTCACTTTTGGTTTCATAGCACCAAGCAGCTTTAGTACAGAATGGTTGAGCTAATCCACCCCGGGGCTCCCTGCTGTCTCTCACACAGCAAATACTGTTTAAGTTTCCAAACAGCCCTCAACACTGACAGGACATTCACCAGATGAATATACCGATGGATGCTGGTAGGCAGAGGCAGAATTTTTTCCTCCTTATTTTCCTCCCCATAAACCAAGCCCAACCACATAGTTTCATAACGAAGCACGTGTATCCAGGTAGTAATAAATAAAATAAGGATGACGGTCCCGTCATTCCCCAGTGTCGCGTGATTTACATTCGGACGCTTGACAACTGACGGTCGAGGAGTCACACGAACCCCTTTTTGCGACCTTCGGACAAGCAAAGTCGATGGGGGAAGCCAGATTCCCTTAACAAACCAGGTTACTAATTTAACAACAGCAGGGGTTCACTTAACAACGGAGGCAAACTCCCTTGACAAAAAAATTCTCACTTAACATTAGCTCAATTTTGGTTGTAAGTTGAGGACTACCTACTTACAGAGAATAGGAATCACAATATTTGGGTAAGAGGCTTTATCATTACAGGCTGGGGAGAAGCTATTTCTATTTATTTTATTTTCCCTTCCCTTATTTCTCCCGGCTCCTCTTCAGGGATCAGGTGTGCCTGCTTCTTCCCCCCGCCCCCTTTTTCTTCTCCTACCTCTTTTGTTCTTTGTGCCATGTTTCTTAGCCGACTGAAGTTCCTGCTGGATCTTCTCTTCCAGGAATTCCTGCTTCTTGACCAGGATGGTTTCTGTCTCGTGCAGCTTCTGGATGGCCTCCTGCGGAGTGGGGGCCTTGGCCTTCTTACCTGGAGAACCGGAGAAGGGAGGAGTGTGTGTGTGTGTGTGTGTGTGTGTGTGTGTATCACATCAAGGAAATTTGACCAGGGGCGCACCATTTCAAGAGAACGGCCTTGTTCAAAAATGGTGGCCCCATCATCCCTGTTGACTTGGGGGTTCCGTCATCCCCATTGGGTTGGGGTCCCATCATCCCCATTGGGTTGGGGGTCCCATCATCCTTATTTGGATTGGGGGTCCCATCAACCCCATTGAGTTAGGGGTTCCATTACCCCTACTGGGTTGGGTGAGCCATCCTCCCCGTTGGGTTCATCCTTCCTTCATCCTGATGCAAGCTCCAACCCAATGCATTAGTGGAATAGACCATTTTTTTGGGGGGGGGGCGCGGTGTGGTGGTGAATGCATTGTTAACCTTAAGCTTTCCATAAAATTCACTCCAGCTTAAAAAAAAAGGTAGTGTAAAAAATTAAAAGAAAAAAGCAGAATTTGTAAAAGGGCCTATCAAATCTCACATGCAAATCTTCCCCATCCATCTTCTTCACACACCCCTCCCCAAAAAATGAGCAGACCCTTGCCTGTATGAGTGGGGGGGGGGCAATGCACCCCTTCACCCAGCCCTGGGGAGCATGAGCAATTAAAACCATCCAGGGTCCAAGCCACATTTCTTATAAATAAGGCCCCCTTTTTAGGAGAAAAAAACAGTAACCCCCCTATTTCTCTCTCATCTATTCATCCTTTCTTTCCTTCCTCTTTTTCTCCTTCTACCCTCCCCCCCCCTCGCGCCACTGGTTACTCCCAAGTCTCGGGATCCCCTATGGACTTCGGGCGATACCAACTCTCCGTCGGGGTGGAACATTGGAATTAGGAGTCTCACCTTTCCCAAACAGCTTCCCGAAACCACTCATCTCGCCTGGTGGGAAATTCACTGGGTTTCCTCTTCCGGCTTCACCCACTTACAAGCCTTGCCCCGCCCCGTCACGTGCCAAGAGGGTGGAAACAGACTAAAGGGATGGAGGGTTTTGCGTATGCGCTTATAAACTACTGGCTCTCGAGCGAAGCAAGAGTAGGAGAGGGATACCCAAAGAGGGAAAGCTGGGGTTATTGGACGGCCTTAATTCGCACCGTGGGCTACATTAAAACATTTAAGTCAAGGAATTAATAAATTAAAAGCAAAGGAACAAGCTCCCTTTTGGCTAGAGAGTTCATTAGGTCCTCAAAAAAAAAAAAAACCTCTAGAACTAAGTCTAAACGGAACCGGAAATATGGATAAAGCGAAACTCAGCTTTTTTTCCCTTTGAGGCCAGCATGTGATGACAGTATTGTGTGTGTAGGGAGGGGAGGAAGATTTGGTAGAGCCGATTAATCATGTGCTTTGTGACGTCACTTCCCCGCCCTTCTCTGTCTCTTAAAGGAACCGTAACACCCCCTCCCCCAAATCTTTTCCAGGCCTTAAAGGGGCTGCACCCTTTAATCTACTCAAATTCATTTTTCTGAAATGGTATAGGGTTGGGGGGGTGGACTAGAAGACCTCCAAGGTCCCTTCCAGTTCTGGTATTCTGTTACTCGTTTCTTTCCCAGATCCTGCATAGGTAGTTCTCAACTTACAACCAATCGTTTAGGGACCATTTGAAGTCACAATGGCACTGACAAAAATGGATTGATGGCAGTTTTTCACACAACTGCCACAGCATCCCTGCCGCCACATGATCCAAATTCAAACACTTTGACAACTTGACTCGTATTTATAACGGTCGCAGTGCTGGGGAGGGGTCAGGCTATCTACTTCAGTGACCTTCCGATAAGCAAAGTCAATGGAGAAGTCAGATTCGCTTAACAACTGGCTTACTCAGTTAACAACTGCAGTGATTCACTTTAACGACCGTAGCAAGAAAGGTCCTCAAATGGGACAAAAGTCACTTAAATGTCTCTTTTAGCACCAGAAATTTTTGGCTCAATTGTGGTCGTAAAGGGCTTTCAGCGAGAAGGCCTTTGCAAACTATGGATTGGTTTTAGCCAGAATATCAATCAGAATAGAGCTGGAAGGAACCTTGGAGGTCCTCTAGACCAACCCCCCTGTGCATCAACAGGAGATCCTATAACCATTTCAGGCAAATGGTTGTCCAGTCTCTTCTTAAAAACCTCCAGTGATGAAGGACCCACAACTTGGGTTAGGGTTGTCTTGGCTGTCCAATCCCTTCCAGTGATGGAGCAAATACAACTTCTGGTGGCAGGCTGTTCCACTGGCTAATTGATGGGAAGTTTCTCCTTAGTTCCAGGTTGTTTCTCTCCTTGATTAGCTTCCAACCATTGTTTCTTGTCTTCTGGTGCTTTGGAAGATAAATTGACTCCCTCCTCTTTGTGGCAGCCCCTCAAATACTGGAACACTGCTATCACATCCCCCCAGTCCTTTTTTCTAGGCTGGCCACCCCCAATTCCTGCAACCATTCTTCATAGGTTTTAGCCTCCAGGCCTTTAATCCTCTTAGTTGCTCTTCTCTGCATTTTTTCCAAAGTCTGAATATATTTTTTGAAATGTGGTGACCAAAATTGGATGCACTATTCCAGGTGTGGCCTTACTAAGGCTTTATAAAGGGCAGGGGTAGGATTCAAATTTCTTAACAACCAGTTTTGTGGGCATGGCCCAATTTGTGGGTGTGGCTTGGTGGACACGTGATTGGGGGCATGTGGCTTGCTGACTGGGGTGTGTGTGACTTGGTGTTCATGTGACTGAGAGGGTGTGGCTTATACATAAATATTGTAAATATGTATATATATAATGTTTTCTTAAGTTTTCGCGGGTACTTAGATGTATGGCATTCAGATTTGTTCGGGTATTTTCCCACATCATTATAGTTGTGCTTTTAAAGTTGTAGCAACGTTTTGGCAGAATCTCATCTGCCATCATCAGGCTTCTGCGTATGTATGTATGTATGTATGTGTATGTATATATATATATATACATATGTGTGTGTGTGTGTGTGTGTGTGTGTGTGTGTATCTTTGGTTGTTCGGGTTTTCTCCCGCGTAAGATTCAAAGTATCTAGGCAACGTTTCGATGAAGTCTCATTCATCATCATCAGGCCTCTGTCTTCGGCTCTTGCTTCTCAGAGTGATGTGAGATTGCAGCTGCTTGAAGAAGCTAAGAGAAGAGAAGCACAGAGAATACCAGAACTATCGCCAAAACCGAACACTTCAACAGCAGAATAATCAGAGAAGCCATAGAAATAGAAAAATGCCCACACAGCATGAACAAACGAGATGACACCTCCCGCCTTCCAGCCATTTGGAAACCCGCCCTCATGAACAGACGAGTACCTAACATGAAGAATGACACCAGACCCACACCCATGAGAGCCACACAAGATGCCACCACCACACTTCCATGTAGAAAACAGACTCACACCCACTCAGAAGATGAGACACGACCATGGACCAGAAGCTACACTGCAACCTCATCACTGCCCACTTCAAACCCCTCCGAGCCATACATGAAGCAGGCCGACACCCACTATGGAGATGCAGCATGACCACGAACTCGAAGCCGGGCAGCAGGAAATCCAGCCAATCAGAACACGGCCAACCCCCCAACCAATCAAAACACAGCCAGGCCCCCTACCAATGAGAAGACACCCCCACCCAATCAGAACACAGCCAAGCCCCCACCCAATCAAGTCCCACCCCCACTGGCAGTTGGAAGGAAGAAGCAGCTGCAATCTCACATCACTCTGAGAAGCACAGAGCCGAAGACAGAAGCCTGAAGATGATGAATGAGACTTCATCGAAACGTTGCCTAGATACTTTGAATCTTACGCGGGAGAAAACCCGAACAACCAAAGATCCACATACAAATACCCGCGAGAACCTCAGAAAAAAAAATATATATATATATATATATACACACACACACACACACACATACACATATACATACACACATATGAGCAACTATTACCCAAAATAAGGCAAAGCAGACTGAGTTGCTTGCAGAATCATAGATTCACTCAGAGATCTACCTTTCTGCAATCTGCTGCCTGAGTCTGCACTGAAAAATAGAAGTCCTAAGGAAGGTCCAGCTCTGCTCTCAGGCCAGTTCTCCCCCACCCCCACAATCCCCTGAATACCACCCCTGACTGAGCCTCAGGGAAGCCTCCTGGGCGAAGGCAAAGCAGTACAACAGCGATTTAGATTATCTAGAAAGCAGAAATCTGACAGGAGGGGGGACAGGCCAGTCAGTGGCACAATTTGCCGGTTCTCCGAACTACACAGAATCGTAACAACTGGTTCTATAGAGCTGGTCCGAACTGGTAGAGTCCCACCCCTGATAAAGGGGTATTATTATTTTGATTCTATGCCTTGCCAAGGGTCCCAATTCTGATCACGTGACCACGGGGAGGCTGGAACACTCCTAAGTGTAAAAAAAAATGAGCATAAGTCACTTTTCTCAGCGTCGTCGTAAATTTGAATGGTCACTGAACAAATGGGTGTAAGTCGAGGACTATAGCTGGCTAGGGAATTCTGGGAATTGAAATCCACACACCTTCAAGCTGCCAAAGTTGAGAAACAATGGTATATGTGAAACCAAGAGCATTGGTAGAAACGATAAAGAAAAAAGAAGATAAAGGTGTTTTTGGGACTCTTTAGCTGTTTTTATTATCTTTCGGAGGTCAGGTGATGCAATCCGGGGTGACTAAAACCATCCTTTAAACCTGATCAATTGTCCCCAGTCCTTGCGCTAAATGGAAAAATAGATTTTTTTCCCCAGTTTTTATTGGGATGGAAGTCACAAACACGAATGCTTTGCTGGTCTAATGCAAGGATTTTCCCCAACCTGGCCCCTTTAAGATGTGTGGACTTCAACTTCCAGAATTCCGTGCTGTCTGGGGAATTCTGGGAGTTGAAGTCCACATGTCTTAAAGGGGCCCTGTTTGGAAAATCTCGGGTCTTTTGTAGTCACAGGACGGAAAAACTCTTTTTAAGGATAAAACTGGTAGAAGACGCTGCACCACGTAAGTAGGTAGCGTCCATAATCCCCAGCCGATATTTTCCATGAGAGGAACCGAAGGAGATCCAGGTTTAAACTTTGTTGGCAGGAAGAGAGTTTGAACATCGTGCGAAGCTCTCTAAGCCTTCTTTGAGGAGAGAAAGAGTCATGCCTCTTGGGACAGGAACGCACACAACTCCTAAGAAAAAACAACAGGAAAACGTTATCACTCCCTATCAATTTAGCTTTCTTTAACCTCCTCACAAGGAACAGAGGCCACTGGTTTCAAACCTGCGGTTTTCTTTACAGGTAGTCCCCGACTTACGACTGCCAGAGGGACCGGGGAATTCGTTGTTTAAAAGGCATGGTCTGTCAATGAGGCATTCACATGACCGCGCCTGATTTTGCAACTTTTTTGCAGCGGTCGTTATGAGAGATATCATGAGAGCTCGACTTGCCATATCCCTCAAGCTTCCCCGGTAACTTGGTTTGTTGGAAGCTGGCTGGGAAGGTGGCGAATGGCGATTGACTGTGTGGGACACGGTGAGCATTGTTTGTACACAACGTTCGCCAAGTGCTTCGATCACCATTTATGGGGCTGCAGCAGTGTTGAGACCGTTGTAAGCGTGAGGAACGGCGGTAAGTTACTTATTTCGAGACTGTGGTTCCTTTGAAGAGTTGATCAAGTAAAGGGGTGTGGGGGGTGAGGACTAGCCTCACCTGGAGATCTTAGAATCATACGGTAGTTCCCCTATATTAGCTCAGACACCAACCTTCCCTTTGGGTATCACAATATTTATATTCATTTAGAACATTTTGATCCCACTTTTATTACTCTAGAAGTAACCAAAGGTGGCAAATGTGACTGATATTCATTCCTCCTATTTTCCCCACAACAACAACCCTGTGAGGTGGGTTGGCCTGAGAGAGAGGGATTGGCCCGAAGACACCCATCCCACTTTCACAGCTGAGGCGGGACAAGAACTCCCTATCTCCTGGTGATTGGCCCAAAGTCACCCACCTGCCTTTCATACTTAAGGTGGGACTAGAACTCCTGTCTCCTGGTGATTGGCCCAGTGTCACCCAGCTGCATTTCATACTTAAGGTAGGACTAGAACTCCTGTCTCCTGGTGATTGGCCCAATGTCACCCAGCTGC